TGGGTCTTCAGAGCTCCCACGGGGCTCCTGAAAGGCTCTCTTGATCAGGTTGGAGCAATTCAGGAAGCAGAAACGTGTTACAGTGCTCCTGGGCTGTTTGGGGGCAAGGCAGAGCAGCCTGCCTAGAGGTAACTGAAGGGAACACGTATCTCCTTTACGTGGCACCGAAGGAGGCGTGTTCGTGGGTGCTGTGTCCTGGTGGATGGGAGCACCAGCGTCTGAAATCACTTACCTTTGTTCCCCGAGCCTCCTTGCCTGCTTTCTCGTCTTGTTCACTTGGACAGATTTAGGGAAGACCACTTACCTTTTGGAACTGTAGAGGATCTGGAGATGGACTTTGCCCTGGCAGGGTAGTATGTACTATGCGTTCCGTGTTTTCTTCCCCCAGTCTGTGGTCTCCTTGCGTTTGCCTTTAGCCGACGGGAAAAGGCTGGCGTTCTGGGTGCGAACGTGCCCTGTCGTACCGTTGAGAAATGGTAAAAACTGCAAAACTTGTTTTAAATATTCAAGGGGATGCATGAAACTTCTTCAGAAGTTTTAGCTGTGTCTGTAGTCATTAAACATAATTCAGTAACTAATAACCTGAGGAATCATCAGTAGGAGATTCGAGTGAAGTTTAGACCAGGGTGAAACTGGAGCAACCAGAGCGGTTGAGGCTGGAGGGGTTTTCAGGGGAAGCAGATACGTGATGGATCGCTGGGCTGGCGTGGCGTGGTTTGAAGGCTCTGCGGTCACCTCTGCCTTGCTTATGGCTCTTCTGCTTTCTCTTTTGCAGGAACGGGGTGAATGTCGAAGGAGCAACGCACAAGCAAGTGGTCGACCTGATTCGCGCCGGCGAGAAAGAGTTAATTCTGACGGTGTTGTCCGTGCCTCCCCACGAGGCGGATAATCTCGATCCCAGTGATGACTCTTTGGGGCAGTCTTTCTATGACTACACGGAAAAACAAGCTGTGCCCATCTCCATCCCCACCTACAAGCACGTGGAGCAAAACGGCGAGAAGTTTGTGGTTAGTATCCGCTTGGACGGTGCTTTCTGGAGATAGGCTGCGTCTGCACCCCGAGCTGTTAGTGACAATTGGTGGCAGCACGCTCTGTTTGTCTTCCGGATGGAGGGACGTTAATTTATTATTGACTGGTTTTGACACCGTCTTATTTAGGCTTGCCCGTCTTCACTCTTACTGTGCCCGGTTATTCTTTTGCAGCTATTTCCTCTGTGCTGGGAAGCTTTTTTTTATTAATGTATCTGGAATAGCTTGATCTCTTGTGGAGATTAAGTAGGAAGTTATTATTTTGTTCGTCTAAGCTTTCATATTTGTATCTCCTGTTTTACACCAAGTGTTAAGGACATCTGTGATAGATATAAAAGCAAAGGGAACAGATGTCTTGAAGCATAGCTTCCCATCTCCAGACTATCTTTTCCCTTTAGGGAAATAGCTGTAAAAAGTCTTTTTCCTTTGGGTTCCCTGCCTGTCTTGTTGCATTTATTGGGGAGGCTGGCAGTCATTTTCCTAGATAATGGGATCTGTCACCTAAGTACCTGACATGGGTGCATCCTCCGAGGCTTAAGGTTGATTCTGGCTCACCAGGGATGGCTGGCTGTGGCTGTTAAGGAAATGTTTGGAGAGGGACCCAAAACCAGGTTGGACGAAGACACTTGTCTGCAGAACTGCTTCTTCTTGCAACATTTGGGGTCTGTTGAACTTCCTCGGTTGGCCTGACCTTGCTTAGCTCTTCTGCTTCCTTGCCTGCCTGTGTAGCACTGACAGATGCTTGGCTTGCAAACTCTCTCGCTCACCCCGTTGTCCAGCACCCCGCTTTGGGAGCAGCATGCCTCGGGTCTGAGCTGCGGCGAGGGTCGGCACCGCCTGCGGCCAAACCCCAGCTGGCTCCCAGTTGCGGTCAGCGACTGGTAGAGAGGGAAGCCTGCCACAAGGGCAGTATTCTTCCCCCTGCAAATAGCTGCTTATTGTTAGGAGCACCGTCCTGCCGGTGTCCAGACCATGTTTTCCTTCTGCTCTGTGTGCTGTCTTCGTTTTTCCAGAGCCAGGGAATTGCGTGGCTGTCGGTGGGCGTGGACGATGAGGTGGAGGGATTTGGGACGAGATGACGAGTATCGGGCGTTTTAGTTATCCTGCTGCTTTGACTCGTGGCCGGAAGGTTTGTGCCGTACGCTGGCTCCCTTCGCCCTCCCGGACTGGGAGGTAGGTTTGGCTGGAGCAGTCGCCCTTGGGACACGATTGCGTCGTAGTGTGAAGTGCCGGGAGACAGATGACAAACTGGCTCATCACTTTTTTCCTCTCCTGGCTGAGAATGAAGGTGTTTTCCCAAGGAAGACAGGAGCTAACATCAGTGCTGCAGAAACAGCGTGCGTGTGTGTGTGTGAGCGGAAGGGTGGAGAGGGTTCGGCAGCGCTTGGGTCGCCAGAAGAGTCCGGCTCCTGTGCAAAGCGTGTCCCTTCAATGTGTCACTCTGTCTCTGAAGGGGACAGATGGGATCCTTGTGAATCCACAGCCTCTCGGGGAGCGGGTGCTTTCCCTGCACCCTGCTCTCCCAGCCCTGGTGGGATGCTGTCCGGTAAGGTACTTGCCATATGGGGCAGGAGAAAAAGGGTCCTGGAAACCAGAGGTTCTTAAAGAAGCATAGTGCAGGGCGGGGGTCAAAGGGACCCTCTTCTCTGGACTGACTCAGATCTAGCCCCAGCACCTTCTGTTGAGGCAATGCCACAAGGGTTGAACGCGTGCTTCTTTTTAAGGAAGAAGCCGTGGTTTTGTTGGAGCGCCTTCCCCTTGTGAAGGTTGTCAGGAGGTGCCTGGAGGGTGCGTGAGCTGGGACTGCTCTGGGCCCCCTCATCTAGGGAACGGGTTGGGGTTTTGGGTCTTCTGAGCGCTGCTGAAGCCACCCTCGGTGCATCTTTGGGACATGCCTCTTGCCAGACTCCACCTCTGTGCTCCGCCAGCCCTTCGGCTTCGGGAGGATGGTGAAGGGTGATGCTCCTCTCCTCCAGAGGAAAGGTTGCGTTTGCAAACTCTTCCCTTGTGCAACATGAAAACGTGTGAACCTATTCTCTTCCTCCCTCCATCCCTTTCCTCGCGTGAAGCTAATTAAGGTAACGCTGCTGGCTGGAACCTCGCTATCGCTGAGGGCATATTAGCAATGCCTAGATAAGAGCTTGTTTAACTTGCCTGCGAGACTGAGCAGATTGGCTTTAAAAATGGAGGCGGCTGGTTAGTGAATGGGAAGGGAATTCCCTGAAGAGTATCGCAGGGCTGAGAAACATCCTGTGACCGTAACTTTGCTCCACATTTCCCTTATTTGGGACCAGAGTCCTATTTCCTTAACAGTGTCCAGAATGAAACTGGAAGAGTGCATGCATAGCAAAGAAACTAGTTAACATTGGGTGTTCCTAAAAGGTTTCATAGTGGCTCTCCCCAGGATCTGCCCTGTGTTTGGTGCCCGACGGCTGCGAGGGGCTGTCTCCAGACACAAACCAAGGCTGCTGCTCGGTTCGGGACCTCCCTCTGTCTTGGAGGAAATAGCTCTGGACCTGAATCCAGAGCTGTGGGGCTTTGGGTGCAGCGTGAGGCTCAGTTCTGCAAAAACCTGGAAATTCCAGATGTGCTTGACACTACTGCTGAAGGTGATGAGGCTCTTGTTGCCAAAAACAGCCGATGCAGTCAGCACAGTATTGCTGTGGCATCCGTCTGGTGGGGGCTTGGCGCGTCTCGGGGACCCTCCTCTGTGCAGGACACCATCCAGGTGAATGCCGTGACGGCTGCATCGGGGCTCGAGGCCTTTTCTGAAGGGTTTGGGTGTTTTTCCTCTCCTTTTGAGGTAGAAAGGCGCCTTGAACTCACCCTGATCCTGCTGCTGTCGGATGGAGGTGGTAGCTGGGACATCCCCCAGCTCCAGCGATAAGCAATGGCATGTTTAACTCTTCATACCAGTTTCTCATTCTAACTCAAACCCTCCTAGTTCAGTCTTGCGCTACCTGTGGGTCCGGGAAGGCAGAGCTGTGCCAATTTGGATTTGGAAAGCTTTTCTCCCCGCAGTGAGCCTCTTCTCCTCCCGGCAGGTCTACAATGTTTACATGGCGGGCCGCCAGCTCTGCTCGAAGCGGTACCGGGAGTTTGCCATCTTGCACCAGAACCTGAAACGGGAATTTGCCAACTTCACTTTTCCGCGTCTCCCGGGGAAGTGGCCGTTCTCTTTGTCGGAGCAGCAGCTGGACGCCCGACGGCGAGGGTTGGAGGAGTACCTGGAGAAAGGTACTGAGCTGGGAGCTGTACACAGCCTTCCTTGCAAGTGGGGAAACAAATCCTCGGGGTACATCCTTCCACGGGTGGTCCAAAACTTCACGGGTGTTCGTTTGCCTGTGAGGGAGAGAAGCTCGTTTGTAGCTGGATTGGATTTCACAACTGAAGCGGTGAGAGGGAGCTCAGAGTTGCTGCGGCTTAATGATGCGTGTGTTACCTGCTCGGAGTGCACTTCCAGCAACAAAATGTATAATTAGTTTTTTAACACACAACGAGCTTTTATTTATAGTGTCACGTTGCTCGCCAGTAATCTTGGAGATGAGGGAGCACAGGGAGGAGGAAGAGGAGGAAGGGAGCTTTGGAGCAGGGAGAACATCGGGTTCGAGGCTGTTCTCATCAGGGGAGCTCAGCTCAACCTGAGCTTGCTCGCAGCTGAACGCCTTGGTCCTTTTTGATCAGAATTGTAATGCCTGCAGCAGGAGCTTCCTTTAGGTTGAGTTCAGATGATGGGAAAGTGGGCGCAAAACCTTATCTCTGTATCAGGGTGCCTGGCTAAAAGATCTGACCCTGCATTTTGCAGTGAAGAGGCTGTAGGTGGGATTTGGGGGGGCAGTGACCCCTCATCTTGTGATGCTGTCTTATTTTCTTAGTTACCTGGAAGCAGCTCAGTTAGTTTGTGTGAGCTTAACGGCCTCTCCTCTTACCCAGCACCCGGGAGTGAAGCTCCCCCTTCCCGTAAGATGGACGTGGGTCACTTTTTCCCCACCCCGCTGATATCTCAGCTCTGCCTTGCCCACCTCGTTCGTCTTCATCCTCAGTTACCGGCTGGCTGGAGGAAAGGGCAGACTGGTTGCATCCTAGAGGCAACATGATACAGTTTGGGTCCAAATTATTTGCCAAACTTGGCCTGAATTCCTAAATAGTTTCAATCCCTCTGAAATAACTGTTTTTTTAGAGGCAAAAGTACTCTTTATGAAATTCTTGCCCACTTTTAAGCATAGTCTAGACCTCCTGTTGGCTGTGTGCCTGGGGCCTGGATTTCACCCACAGGGAATATCTCAGCGAGTTACTCAACACCGCTGTTTGCTTGCTATTGTAGGGGATTCCGGCTGGATCAGTCTTCGTGCCAGGACACCTGATACAGCCCGGAAAGCACTCGCTTTGAGGAGTTTTTTTCCGGGCTGGAGATACCACCCTTGTTTCACGCCACCCGCAGAACAGACAGTTGTTATTTCCATGTCACCTTTGGGCCGGTCTTGGGGGACGGGGGGGCTCCCCCTTTCTCCGGGCACCCCGCTAACCTGTGCTCTCTGTCCTGCAGTGTGTTCGATACGTGTCATTGGGGAGAGCGACATCATGCAGGAGTTCCTGTCGGAGTCGGATGAGGTAGGCGCGTAGGTGATGGTGCTGAAGCTCTGCCGTGACCTTCCCTGTGACAGAGGCTGTAAATGCTTGGTAAAACTGGATCGGAGAGCAAAGACGTTCCCTGCCAAAGCCTCAGTTGGTTGAATAGAAAACCATGGCAAAAAATCAAGGCTGCGGTTTGGTGTCTGTTATTTTCTCCATCGCAGCAGCTCAGAGCAGCTTTGATGCCGCTCTCGGGGATGCGCACGGTGCATTGCTATTTGCCCTTCAACCGTTGTTCTTTTCCCAACCTTTCCATGGTGCGTGAAGTTGCCGTGTCCCAGAGCTGTCTCCTGCTCTTCACTGGCAAACCCGTGAATGGAAAATGCTACCCTGTCCTGGTCTGAAGCAGTTTGTTCAGCTTCCAGTCTCGGAGCAGAGCTCACACCTTCCTTCTTTCAGAATTTCTCTGGTGCAGACTGGAATGGGGTTCTGGAAGCTTGCAGAGCAGCTGGTTGCTAGAAGTGACCATTTTAATTAGCCAGCGTGAGGCAATAAATAGTCCATAGAGCTCGGGGCTCGGTTTGTGTGATGCTGATTTCTGTCCTCTCCTCTTCCCTCCTTCAGAATTACAACGGCGTCTCGGACGTGGAGCTCCGAGTAGCATTACCAGATATAACAACAGTGACAGTAAGAGTCAAAAAGAACAGCACTACAGACCAGGTGTACCAGGTGAGCTACTTCTTTTTTTGCCTTGGCTGGAAGATTAACGTGATTCAGACGTTAACCGAGACCCCATGGGCGCCCACTTGGTTCTCTCCGCTCCTCTCGAGTGCGGCTGGGCACAAGTGATGCTGCTTTGCTGTAGCAGAGAGGACGAGGCACTAGAAAACTAACCGTACGCCGTGCTGAAGCAGCGTTTTCACTGACAGGCTTGGCTGCAAGGACAGAGTCATCGCTGAATTAATTTTCACTGATAATATCTTAAAGCTGGCGGATGGCTCTAAGCACTAGACAGATTGTGTGTTATGACTTGCAGTGGCTGCGGTGGAGGAGTTGGATCCAAGAGCTGCCAGCAACCAACACACGAGTCTTGCTGTGGCTGTGGGGCAGGACAGCAAGTTGAATATTAAGGGTAGTGCCAGATTATGGGTTTGCAAGTGGCCGGAGGCCCAGTGCTTTTAAGTGGAAAACTAAGGAGAAGTGACTTCAACCAGCAGTGCAGGAGGAAAAACGCAAGCTGTCGATGGATCAGGGGGAAGAAGATGATGCAGGGGAGACCCTTTTGGAAAGGGGAACTAAAAAAATGTTGCTGCAAGCAAGGGAACCAGAGGGTTGTGAAAGAGCAGGCTCTCGGGAGCTCCGGATCCGCACGGCAGAATCCTGCAGATAGATGGGATTTGCAGTTTGGGGGACAGCCTGTTGAATTTCACGTCGCCTCCGCCGAGGTCTGTGGGTTTTGGCTGTGGCATTAGCCTGCAGGACTGAAGCTTTGTTGGAGAAAACTCCTAGGGGAGGTGTGCACGCCTCCTCTGTCAGGGGTTGAAGCTGGAGGCATCAGAAGAAAAGGTGACCTAATTGTCAGCCATGGTGGCACTTAAAATCTAGAGCAATTTACAGGAAGGTGAAAGCAGGGGAGTCTAAGCTCTTGCTTCAGAAAATCTCTGGTTTTACTGGAGGAGTAAAATTCCGGTTTTCCGTGGTGACTAACACCTCGGGTTAGGAAATACTTGGGAATAACCTGTATGAAGCTGACTTTGCCCTGGAGTGGGACGGACAGCTGCTGGCTCCTGTTTTGCTCACTCCGTTTTCCCATTCGGTTGCTCTTCAGGCTGTGGCTGCGAAAGTTGGAATGGACAGTATTACCGCAAACTACTTCGCCTTGTTTGAAGTGATCAATCACTCCTTTGGTAAGTCTTTTAATCCCCTCGGTGCTGACGAGCTACTGAGAAAGCTCTGCAGTGCTGGCAGAGCCCAGTGGCACTCTCATTTAGGTCTTATCTCTGCTTGCAAAATCAGGAGCCCCCGGGAGGAATTGGGCAGGCAGAATAGGCTCTGATAACGAGGAGCCCTCAAAGTTTGATGGCTTTTTTGCTGCCACTTGACTTTCCTGTTCTTAAACAGTTCAAGGAGATGAGTTTTTTGTTAAACTGAGAGATGCATTTTACTTGAGTTTGAAGGGTCCAGCGAGCTTAGAAAAAGTGGGCAACGTCATTGCAACGGGGCAGTGGAGGGAGAGGAGGAGGGCAGCGGCTTGGGATGGAGCGAAGGTGCTGGAAATTGGATTGAGGGCACCCTCGGTCCTAACACGTAGGTGTAGGGAGATATCCAGGTCCTGGGGTGGGTGTGTGCTGCGAGCCACGTCTTAGCTTCTCATCTCTCCTTCCGTGGTTAAATCCTGATGGTATTTGAGGCTTGACTGTGGGAATCTGAGCGATCGTTTTGGCCCTTAAGTAATTGCCATCCTTCCAGCTAAGCACGTGCTGGGGTCTCCTGGCTGCTGTTCAGATCCCCGACCGCAGCAATCTCTGATTTCACCCAGCTTCATGTTGGGTTTGATGAAGCTGTAGAGAGGCCAAAATATCGTGGTCACACCACAGAATGGGTGTAGTGGTTGGTTTGTGTTTTGTTTTTCCCCTGTGCTGGGTTTTAAACCAAGTGTATTTCTCGTTCCCAGCTGGGTACCTTCATTTCTGGATTGTCGTCTCTCTATGCCTCAAACTCATCCCCTCGTTACGGCAAACTGTGCCTTGTAGGAAGAGATCTCTGGGGCCGTTCCTCGTGCTCATGAGATTCCGGCTGAACAGCCGGGGCAATTTTTAGCTACATAAAGCCCTCCTAAAATGACTGCTCTCACAGAACAGGCTAGGTTTGCATTCAGATGCTGACCCTGGGGCAGCCGAGATCACCAGTCTCCTGTAAAACCGTTGGCATCGCGGAACTGCCTCTGATACCGGGTTTGTGGTCACTTCTTGGGAGTTACCGGGTGCTGGTGTGTCCGAGGAGGACAGGGAAGACCGGGGCTGGAGGGTTGACGTACTTGGAGATTGCCGAGGCCGGGCAGGGCTGTGTGGAGAGCCTCGAGCGGGAATACCTGCCCTTGGGAGATGGGACGTTGCAGCGTGCTGGCACAGTCTCTTGCAGGAAGCTTTTACGGTGCCAGACTCTAACGGAGCCGTTAATTCCTCGTTCCTGTGAGTGCTGCACTTCTCAGACTGCACCAGAAAGTAAAAACTCCCGTAAACCTTTATGGTTTGTGCTTTCTGGGCACTTGCTGTCAACGTCCCCATTTATTCCGGTCTGGGTACACTGCCATTTAATTTCTCTGGAAGCCATAAGCTCCATCTGCAGTACGATAGTGACCATATCCCGACCCGATGGTGATGTACTGGCACCTGCCTCTTTTGGGTTTTTTGTCCATTGTAGCTGGGTAAAGCCGATTCGAACACAGTAAATGTCTCGACAGGGACTCGCTGGTGGCCCAGCTGCTCCAGTTTGGCTGAGCAGTGCAGCAGGTTTTGTCTGGGCTCTGGTGGCAGCCTGCCAGGACTGGGGGGGGACCTTCTCCGGTCCTCCGCACTGTGGGTACAGCGCACAGGTCCAGAGCACCGTGATCCTAAGGCTTAGGCAGGGTGGACCTCGCTGTGCGCGGCAGGGGATGAAGTCAGGCTGTCGTGCTGATGCTTGAGAGCTGCGCCGAGCTCTCCGACAGCCGAGAGGAGTTCAGCCTCACGCAGATTCCCACCTGTGCACGAGAGGCGATCGCCAGGGACCAGCGTGGTCTGATGCAGTGAAAGTTGTTATTGAAAAAAACTGAATTCGGTCAGAGAGGCTAAAAAAGGGCCTGGGAGCAGACCTGGGGTCCTGATCCCGTCCGACTTAGCTAAAGGGCATCGCCGATGTTGATTTGTACAGCAGCCAGGCTGCAGTCACGGGTGCTGCTGCTGATGCTGCGTGTGGCAGTGAGCTCACCTCCCTGTCCTCTGCTTTTTCCAGTGCGCAAACTGGCGCCCAACGAATTCCCCCACAAACTCTACGTGCAGAACTACACCTCGGCGGTGCCAGGAACATGCCTGACGATCCGCAAATGGCTCTTCACTACAGAGGAGGAGATTCTTCTCAATGACAACGACCTGGCAGTCACCTACTTCTTCCATCAGGTAGGTGCCCAAGAGCTGTAACTAGAATCATAGAATCATTTAGGTTAGAGAAGACATTTAAGATCGTCAAGTCCGACCGTAAACCTAACGCTACCAAGTCCACCAATTTTTTTACTGGAGTTAAGGCAACACAAGCACCCAGCTCCCAGGACTACTCCAAACACCGCTATCCTTTGGCATACCGGCAACAGAGTGTGAAACTGAGGGCCAGGCCTGCCCAGATAAGTTCCAGGAGTAGAAGTCTGCTTTATGCAGCTTCTCTGGGATGAAGTGAGGCCAGGAAGAGCCGTGTTCTCCCATTGCCTGTATAAAGCTGGTGTAGGATGACCAGCTCAGAGGTAGATATCTGCAGAGTTCAGTAAGAGGAATCCTGCTCTGTTTCAACCACCAAAAATGCTGTCCCAGCACTCTCTGATATAAGCCTGTACCAGCCTCTGGTACAAATTGAAATAAAAATAGTAGTTGTCAAATTCTTTTGATCTCCTAGACTGGATCTTTACTGGCTGGCAGCTTTACCAGACGCCTTTTGACAAGGGCCGGGCTCCGCTG